GGGGGGTCCAAGACACACTCATTACTGACTTGGTCTGTGTGCATTTTGCAATTTCACCGTACAGCCCTAATATGGATGACAGCCCTCAGTTCTTCTGCCCCTCTCTTAGCTTCTGAGAATATCCTGGAATTTCTTTCTTCCCATAATGTCCAGCATACTGCAGCCCTCAGCCCTCTCCACATAGTCCTTCCCCTTTTCATACACCACCTGAAAAAGGAAGGGGATAAAAGGCCCTGCATATTTGATGGAGGGTTCCAACTACACCCAAAGATGGAAAAATCCTATTCCCAAATTGACTTCGCAAATTGGCAAGACACTAGTAGATGAAAACCAGTCTCCCCATCCACTTTAAAAAGAACATACCAATGAGGTGACAAGCAAGTGTTGGGTCTCTTCTTTTGGAGCAGATAGGCTTCCCAATAAAAACTACCAACCCTAGGAGGAATTGGTTTGCACCAAACCTCATCAACAAGGAAAGGGGGGATTACAGGACTGGTGGACTGGCTTAAAACTTTGAAGAAGGAAGCACAAGAAAAGGAGCCAGTGGGGTTAGGGGTCCAAATTCTAGAGTCCACCTTAGTGGGGTCTAAGAAAACATTATCAAGAAGTTCAAGGAGGCTTGAAATACTGTCGAGGCCTGAGTCCCTCACACCCTTCTTAGACCTAGGTTCCACCCAAGCCCAGACCTAGGTTCCCCTTTAAACTGGTCCTTTAAAGGGGCATTCCCCACCCAAGTTTGTTCCCAAAATTTTATGGAGTTACCTGAATTCAAATCATACCTGATATTAGGGGAGAATACTGGTAGTAGATCATGAATGACTTTCCAAGGAGAAGTGCTTGTGGTCCTAGCTCGGATTCCAACATCTCATCCATTATGCTCCAACCCATGTATGCTTGCCACTATTCTAGCCCATAGCTTCTCCTTCTCCAGTGGGAACCTCCACAACCACTTCCCTAAAAGGGCCATATTCCTTCTTCTAATGTTCCCAATCCCCAAACCACCACAAATTTTACTCCTGGTCACCACCTCCCAGATAACTCTATGATCCCTCTTCTCCTCTCTTGGCTCCCAAAGGAAATCTCTCATCATCCTCTCCAATCTGCTAGAAACCTTCACTGGGATTTTGAACACTGACAGGAAATAAATGGGTAAGTTTGCTAGCGTGGCCTTAATCAGTGTAGTCCTTCCACCAAGAGAGAGATAATTCTTTTTCCAAGAGACCAGTCTCTTTTCAAACCTTTCCACCGCTGGGTTCCAGAAGCTCTCTCATAGGGTTATCACCTAATGGCTGCCCTAAATAATTCAATGGCCACCTTGAAACTTCACACCCTAGCACTTACGCACTCTCCCTAATTTCTCCCCCCTCCATATTCACACCCACTACACAGCTTTTCCCGAAGTTCACCTTCGAGTTCGACATTTGCTCGAAAAGTTGTATCACCAGTTTCATGTTCCTGATGAAACTCACATTACCTCCTTCACAAAACAAAATTGTATCATCAGCAAACTGTAAGTGAGTGAGGGAGGTTTCCTCCCTTCCAACTCTCCAACCTCTAATGAGACCCCTAGAGTCTGCTCTGTGAATCAATTTCCCTAGAACATCAACAATTAGTATGAACAAGAAAGGAGAGAAGGGGTCTCCTTGTCTTATACCCCTAATGGCTGGAAAGAAATCTACCAC